GACCGTGAAGCAGTGGGACCGCGACGAGGCGATCCGCGTGCTGAAGTGAGCTCGATAGTGTAGTCGACGACGCATGCAATTTCGCCGCGCAGCGTAAACCATGCTTACCGACAATCTGTGCCACGTTGCTTCAGGTTTTTCCGGGCGGCGGTCCTGGCCGAGCTTGGGTGCGATGGTCGGAAGTGGGAGTGGGCGAAGCCTTCCGATGAAGAGGTGGAGGACAGGCTCGCCGACTGCGATCAACCCGTTCGAGATGTGAGTTCCGAACGAATCACCGTCCTATAGTGTGTCATCCTTGCGCGATGCGATTGCCGAACGCGGTGCTCATCATTGCGCTCTGAACTGTTGTATGCAGAAAGTGCTCGACGCCGTCCGGGACGGGGACGCGGGCTCCGGCCTGCTAGCAATGAGCGCGTTGTGCTGGGTGGTGAGGAGGATGGATCTCCTGACCGGCGCCCTCCGTCGCAGTGTGACCAGCATGGACAAGGTCAACGTTTCGGGGTTGAAGGGGCTGCGGAATGGGATGATAACATTCGTCAAGGAGCACGTCGCTCTCAAACGGTCGGGCCATGTCGGAGTTGCTGCCGACGCCTGTGACGACGACGGCGAGGAGGCCCCTTTGGCATCCACAGCAATAGGTGTCGCCTACACCGTCGATGATGCGCGTGGGACTTCGATCGGAGAGCCCGGAGGCGGCGTCGACAAGGAAGATGAGGAGGCGGGAAGGGCGGTGACTGGGACCGCGGAGAAGAACCAGGAGGATAACGAGGATCAGGAAGAGGACCATGAGGATCGTGAGGAGGAGGAGGAGGAGGAGGAGGAGGAGGAGGAGGAGGAGGAGGAGGAGGAGGAGGAGGAGGAGGACGAGGAGGACGAGGAGGAGGAGGAGGAGGAGGAGGAGGAGGAGGAGGAGGAGGAGGAGGAGGAGGAGGAGGAGGCGGAGGAGGCGGAGAAGCAGCAAGAGGGGGAGCAGGAGGAAGAGGTCGAGTGGGAGTTGGAGGAAATGGAGGTGGAGTACGTAGAGGGAGCGGCGGAAACGGCTGGGAGGTCGGCATATGTTGTGAACAAGGGAGGGGAGGATGCCGACGAGGAGAAAGTCGGCGTGGAGGAGGCTCACGGGGGGGGTGAGAAGGTCGTGGTCGGCGATGTGGATGGCGACGCGAAGGAAGTTATCGACCTCGAGGTCGTTGGAGAAGGGGATAACGCCGCGGCCACGAAGCCGACGGGCGTGGAAGCGCCTACCGAGACCACCGCAGGGAAGGCCGGGGGGGAGCGGTCTAGGGTGAAGAAGGCGGCGCGCGGTCATCCCGGTTCCTCCGCATCTGGTCGGCAGGCACCGCTGGACGTCGTCGAGCAGCTGCGACAGGAGAACAGGCGATTGACAGCAGAAAATGCCCATATGGAGAAGGCGCTCGAAGATGAAAGGGGTCGGGTGGACAGGTTTGTGTTGGGGATGCGGGGACTCCTCGACAAGCTCCAGTCGTTGGCCGACCAGGTCGCCGTCTCCGACCATACTGCGGCGAAACGGCTGCTAGATGCGACGTCGGCCGTGTCGACAACCATCACGGACAACATCACCAACCACATGGACGAATCGTGGAAGGCGATGAAGTCCTTCGCCGAAAAGGCGTCGACGTGGTTGGCGGAAATCGACGGTCCGGAGGGAAGTATGGCAGTTGAACGCGCAAAAGCGGTCGCCGCCTTGGGCAACCACGTGGAAGCGGTGGTGGACGATGCGAAGCTCGGTTTGGAGGACTTCATCTCGAAGCACCTAGCCGCCGCGCAGGCCAACATTGCCGTTGCGGTAACTCGCACCATCGCCGTGCCGCCGCCGCCCCCGCCGCAGCCCACGCCAGCCTTCCCGGACGAGCTCATGAAGTCGTTCAAGGCGGACGTGTTGAAGGCGGTGACGGAGGCCACCCAGCAGTCGTTTGTTGCGTCCGGGTTAAAGCTCATGACCGAGGTGATCGGCAATGTGGCGGCTGGTCGGCGTGCGTCGTCGCCGTCGGCCAATGACGCCGATCCCGCGCAACGAAGGGAGGCCGACAAGCAGGGCCGGAAAAGGGCGGGCGGCGGAGATGATGCAGGGAGCGTGAAGCGGAGCAAGGGAGCCGATGGAGGCCGCGGCGTCGGCGCGGTGGGTCCAGGCGGCTCGCGGACTCGAGGTCAGAGCGTGGTCGACCAGCTCAAGAAGAACGGGGCCAAGGTGATAAGGTCGCACAGCAAGGGCGATGGAATCGGGAGTGCAGATGGGGGCCATGCCGACGAGGTTGCCGCAGAAGACGGCGGGAAAGGCTTGAGCGACAAGGAGATCCCAACCGCTCAAACGGCGATAGATGGCGGCGCCAGAACCGTCAAGGGACCGTCTGTCGGGGTCGCGGGGACCACGTCGATTCCCCGAAAACCCCCTGCGGCTAGCAGCGCGCCGGTCGGCCCGTCAGCCGCCAACAACGATGGGCCGGCCCTTGTGGCTACTCCAGCTGCAGTGGGCCCGTCTGCCGCCAAGGGCGACGCGAAGGATGCTGCGGCTAACCGCGACGGTCCGTCCGCCTCTAAGGTGCCCGCAGTGGCGAACGCGCTCAGGGAAATGCTCCACCGCATGGAGGCCCATCGCAAGGACGTGCAGCAGCCTCCCTTGGTCGATGCCGCCCCCGCCGAAGCAGCACGCCGCACGGTCACTCCGCAGGTCGCCGCCACAACGCCCAGTGCCCCACATACCGCACCTCTGGTCGCCGCCCATCCAACTGCGGACCCAAAGTCCGCATTGCTTCGCGCTCGGTTAGGCGCACGTAGTGCGGCAGCGCCAGCACAGACTCGGCCGGAAGCCGGCTCAAGCGCGACGCCGACGTCGGTAAACGAGGCGGCGGAGAAGGGCGTGAGGGCAGCGCTAGCCACCGGCGGCGGAGCCGTTGACCATGCACAGGCGTCGATAGGCCACAACGACGCCGACATCGCTGCCATCCAGAACCTGTTGGAATCGGTAAAACGCCCCGGGCACCCCGCTGCTCTGGCCATCTCGGACACGGCGCATGTGGAGCCCTGGGCGAATCCCCCCGCTGGTTCAGCGGAGTCAAAGACGACCACTGATGCTGTCGGCGATGGAGAGTCGAAACGGAAGGGGAAGGCCGACACAGTGAAAGGGAGGGCGAGCTCTCAGAGGAAAACACGGGCGATGTCGGCCGAGACAGGGAGGGATAAGGCGAAGGAGAAGTCGGTGGAGAAAGGGAAGGAGAAGGCGGAGGAGAAGGAGAAGGAGAAGGAGAAGGAGAAGGCGGCGGAGAAGGAGAAGGTGGCGGAGAAGGAGAAGGAGAAGGAGAAGGAGAAGGAGAAGGAGAAGGAGAAGGAGGAGAAGGAGAAGGAGGAGAAGGAGAAGGAGGAGAAGGAGAAGGAGAAAGGACGGAAGGGTCATGGCATCCGCCACGACAACTCAGGCGACGGTCTTGGGTGGGTGGGCGAGATTAAGGTGCTCGGCGCTAATCGATACATCGGCAAATCGCGCGAGAAGATGGAGCTGGCGTACTTGCACTCGATTGCGTACATCGTCTACGACGGCTACGTCAGCAAGGTCCTCATGGCCGAGCTCACCGGCTTGGAGGAAACCGAGTTGGAGAAGTGGAGGATGGTGTGGGAGGAGGTCAAGATTTTGCCGACAGGGATGTGGACGGTGATATGGGCACGGGGCGCGTACCTTCCAAAAACACGGTAAGTCGGATACCCTTTCGGCCGAGTGTTGATGACGATGTCGGAGTCACTAATGGTCGCTCGGTTTCATGTGATTGTGTGACAGGTTCGATGACATTCTCGGCCAGTATCGAGCGTACAAGAGCTCAGGCGATGTGCACCACGACGCGCTCTTGCCGGCGATCTGGTTCCCCGTCGATGCCGTCACAAAGGAAGGCCAGGAGAAGTCGGATGCTATGATGTCGGCCATGATAGGTCGCGTGTCCATGTGCGCTGCGTATGGGAAGGTCGCTGCGAGCGCGGCGAGGAAGGAGGGAGACACTGATGAGAAGACGGCGATGGCGGCACAGGCGTTATCGGCCTCCGCTTGTGTGGTGCTTAGTCGAGAACGACGACGCCCAGGTGGTCGATGCTGTGGGCGAAGGGAAGGCGGCGGCGATGGTGGTCGGTGCGAGCGAGAAGACCGCCGGTGTCTTCAAGGAGGTCATGCAGGCGGTGCTGGAGGCCGAGATCGACCGGGGGCAACCCCTGGGGGAGGTTGCGCACAACGTCGCGCCGGCGCTGCAGAGTCTCGCTCTGCACCGGGTCTACCCGGGGGTGGATCATGAAGTCGAAGCCGACGTGATTGCTAGAGCGATAGTGGAGACATTGGCGTTCAGGGGAATGTGCCCCGTCGCCGGGCCGAAACTCGAAAAGATCGGCATCGCGGTGCCGTGTGACGCGCAGATGGAGTACGACATTGAACACAGGGGGAGGAAGGGGCAGAGAGGCAAGCAGGGCAAGGACAGCACGGGGAAGAAGGGGAAGAAGGGCAAGAAGGGCAAGGACAGCACGGCGGCGTAGTCGGCGCGCGAAGGGAGCGCGAGGTGGTCTGATTGCTAGTGTGTTTGTAACCTTTTTTGTGTTTGTAACTTTTTGTTTGTGTTTGCTTATGTGGTAGCGCATGTAACTTTTTGGTAGTGCATGACATGTAGAACCCTCGTCGGAGATGTCGACCTGATCGCTACCCTCTGAATTGCACACTCAAATGCTACTCGGGGATGAATTTTTGTCGGCGTATATGTCGGAGTCCGAAAATACGTCGGCGTCGTTGGATGTCTGTCGACATAGAGGGTTTGGCTGTCTGCAAGTATTTTCGGGGTGTTTGTTGGTCGGCGACCGACTGCAGTTACCATTGTTGGATCATCTATGTTCGCATGGGCATTGTTGTATGACCATCGTTTACCAACTTCATGAACAAAATAAGCATCATGGTTTGGTGCAATCGACCACAATTACAGCATCATCAAACTACGCGCACGCATATGCTCCGAAGGTACTCATGCCGCCTTCTTGCGCTTCGTCGGAGGACGCAGCACAGGTGCGGTCTGCCGCTCCATGTCCGCCACGGTCTTCGGCATCTGCTCCTCCCAGGTGTCTGGAAACAGGACGGCGACCCAAGCGGTCGGCTTCAAGTTGACCGCCACCAGCGCACAGGCGAGACGTAGCTTCGAGACCGACTTGGGGCCCAGCCCCTTGACGCCCATGCCGGGCTCCTTGGACTTCGTCGGTGCGGTTCCCGGTTTGAGCACCGTGAGGGCATCGCAGAAGGTCCCGATGCCCGGCGTCGCGATCTTGTTCAGGGCAGCGACGACGGCTTCGGTGTCGGCATCGCCGTCGCTCGAGCGAAGAAGGCGCACCGCATCCATGGCCTTCAGCATGCGGCGCACCTTCATGTCGTGTGCACCCTGCGTCGCGCCTTTGAGGAGGGTGTGGCGGTCGACGAATCCCGGCTCGGCGACCCTATCGCAAAGACGGCGGGTGTCATCGGCGGTGGCGGAGTTCCAGAGGCGCCAAGCGTCCCTCACGGTCTTTGACTCCCGCCAAGGTTGCACCACGTTGAGCTCGTAGCGAGCCTCGTCGAGCGTCTGTGGGGGTTTCTCGTACCGTTTCTTGTTTCTGGCCCCCGGACTGGCCGAATCCGCGGAGCCACTCTCGCTCGGCGTCTGCTCGTTCCCCGACGGCGGCGTCTCCGGCATCCTCCGTGCTTCTGACACACGGAGTGCCTCGGTGAGACGGGTTATCTCGGCGGTCAGCGTCGCGATGGTATCGTCGCGCTTCTCGAGTTCATCCTGAAGGTCGATCTTCTCGACCGCGGCGCGCTCCCTCTCGTTCTTCAGCGTCTCCTTGAGGGACATGTTATGGTATTCGGTGTCCAAGCGAACGGAGATTTCCTGCAGCACAAGGCGGAAAGGCGAAAATTGTTTAGAATACACCCGTAACAGATAGGGTCCCGACGACGCCGACTTTAGCGACGGTTTACCTCTGCCTGAATGAGGGTTGGGTCCCGGCGTTTGTTGATCGTTTCGGTGTCGATCTTCTCGACCCTTTTCGCCCAGTGCTGAAAGAGGGCAATCCGGCAGAGCTTCGAACCTTGGACGTACGGGTGCCAAGGGGTGCGGACGAGCTTCACCGCGAGGTCCTCGGCGACGATGCGGCGCATCATCTGGAGGGTACGCCAGAAGTGCACGGCGGCTTTGTCGGCGTCGCTCCCTTCTTTGGCAGCTCGCGTTTCCGCCTGCACATCGGCAGGTGATGTGGGTTAGTAAGGCGATGGGCAGCCAACGAAGCAATGGCGACGTAAGGACATTGTCGGCGTCTATTAACATACATCGCGCAGCAGAGCATCCACGCCGGGGAAGATGTGCTCGGCGATGATGTCCAAGAGTTTGTCAGAGGGCTCGACCCTGCTGCGACCCAAGAAGTAGTCTTGCTTGCAACCCGAGTAGCCGGCCTTCTTCATCACCACCCAAACGGGAATGGTTGTGATGTAAGCACGCGTCATCTTGTCGAGTGCCCAGTGACCCAGCTCGGCGATCTCGGCGCGAGGCGTCCCTTCAATGGCTAGCTCCTGCGCACCTCCGGCGCGAGCGGCGTGCACGTTCCGCTTGCAGAACACCTTGTTGGTCGTCCACAACTGCCGCGTCAAACGTTGGTGGCTGGAGGCGGAGAGCTCTTTTTGCTCCTTGTCGTTGCGGGCGAAGAAGAGGTGCTTCTTGTACCAGCGCTCGCGTTCGGTGGTGTCAAGCGGCGGAAGGAAGTCGACGCCGTTGAACTGACCGATCTGGTCGAGGATGAAGTGCAACCATAGGCCGGTCTCGCCGACGGCGCACAACTCCGCTTCCAGGTGTCGCGCCGCGTAGCTCTGCTGAAGACGGGCATCCTTGGAAGTCTTCGAGTTCCGCGCGGCGATCACCATGACGACCGGCTGGTTCTCCGGGTTTATCGACGAGGTGCTAGCCAGTCGGTACAAGAAGATGTCGGGGAGCGTGATCTCGCGGATGTTGGCGCCTCGCAGGAGAGTGTGGTGGGAGAGTAGCGTGAGCGCCTTGGTGAGCAGAAATCGCCACAGCGTCTGCGAAAGAGCGGTTGCCCGCGGGCTCCACGCCGACTCCGCCCATGTCGGCAGCACCTTCATCATGATCTGGCGGAACTGTTCGGCGGTGTAGGTATCGCCGATGGTGCCGCGACGCCGGTCGGCACAATTCCTGCCCACAAAGCCACCGAGTATTTTGAGTTTGACGGCGTCGACTTCATAGTGACATGGACAGAGGCTGGCGGTGTCGACAAACTTACTTGACGTCCCTCTCGTTCTTGGTGCGGACCATGAACCGCACCTCCGATCTGACCACCGATATCTCCCGCATGATGCTCAGCTCCTTCTCCCGGTAGAGCGTCGCCTCCACTCTCGCCGCCATCTGGCATGCCTTTATGCGCCCGAGGAGCGTGTGCACCGTTGTACCTTGCACCGGCTGGGTTCGCGGGGCATTGTTCCCCTCCTCGATCGACTCGGCATCGAGCTGACACTCACGTATCATGAACTTCACATAGGCGCGCAGCCGGGTTTCGGTTACCCTAGGGCCGTGCAGCCAGATGTACTCTCGGGGGACCTCGGCCACTTTGTCCCAATTCTTCTTCTTGTTGTCCCGGATGTAGTGGCCGATCTCGTCGACGTGCCTAAGCCTGTGCTCCTGGGGAAGCTTGTCGCGTATTTGCGTCAGCATTTTCGCCGCCCACCTCTTGTAGTGGTAGATGAACGAGGTGTACAGCCTCAGCGTGCTATTCTTCTCCAAGGTTTGCAGGTGGCGTAGGGCGTCTATGACCAGCACGTCGATGCTTGCGTAAACCATGTCGTCCTCGACGAAGTCTGCTGCTCTCCACTGTTCGCGTGGCACCGCCATGTTCTGCTCGTCCTCGTCCTCGTCCTGTTCTAGCATGTCATCTATGTATTCAAGTTCCCGCCGGAGGCGTTCTTCCAAGGTGCGCGGATTCGTGCTACGCGGAGGACGCTCGTCGTATTCGTCGTCGCTCTCCTCCTCCTCCTCCTCCTCCTCCTCCTCCTCCTCCTCCTCCTCCTCCTCCTCCTCCTCCTCCTCCTCCTCCTCCTCCTCCTCCTCCTCCTCATCATCAACCTGGTTTCCTGAGCCGCCCGGTACCGACGAAGGTCCAGGCTGCCCAACTTGCGTCGGTGTGGACTTACTAGCTGGCTTGGTAAACTCTCCTATCGGCGGTGGGGGAATGTCCTTGGTGAACTCCCCTTCTGGAATCTGTGTCAGTGCGTCAAGATCGTAGAGTAACTTGAGCGTCTCTTCGGGGGTAGAGGTCTCAATGTGGTCGGTTGGGGGACCAATGTCGGGCATGTCGACGTCTGCCATGAGGCCGCTCGTAGTTTGCTATACCGTCGACCGTGTTCGAGGTAAGGGATGGACCACCAGAGACGGTACTGAGTCGCGGGTGCGGTGTACACCCGATGAGTTGCTCAGGCGTCTTCGTCGGATTCTCTCTCAAGTGCTTCTAACCCAGCGGCGAGCTCGAGGCGTTCCAGCTGTGCTTTGATGTCGGCGTCTACAGAGTCGGCAGGGGGTGGGATGGGTTGCGGCTGTTGGGCTCTAGGCCGTGCTCTGGACATGCGTCGCCGACCTAGTTAGTTGTGATCGGTTACCTAAACACGCTACCGGTGCCGACGTGATCGATTGGTCGGTGCACGAGTAACCCACACTCGCGAAGATAGCTAGGGAGAGGAAAATTCAAAGTGGAAGAGGGAGCAGGAAGGAACGCAGGAACGCACAATGGAATGAGCACCAGCGCAAGGTTACGGAGGGGTATGGTCGTGAGCGACTCCCGATTTTGCCGCGCTTCACGCAACCCCCTATGCTTGTGCCGCTATGCATGTGTTCTCGTGCGGCGGCGCATTGTCCGACGTGCCACGAGCCATGCATGGCTAATGGGTCGCCGCGCTGCACTCACGGGGCGTAAGCCTGGGCACGTCCACGGTGGTATGTGCGTGCATTACGTGGCGTGGGCCCATCATTGGTGCCTCTACGCAGAAACGCCGACATGCCGACTTCCATTGCCTAAGGGCACGGAGTTATTGAAGAGCCGCGTGGCAAGCCCACCGTGAGCCCTCGTGGTCGACGCCGACTTTCGTGGTCCGGACAATCCCGTTGGATCCTTAGTCGACACCGACATGGCGAGCAGCTCGCGATGCCAGACAACTGTAACATTTTTTTACGGACAGATCTTCGCCGCGTGGATCGGCCACCGACAAATTTGGGCGCGCAGTGGAGTTCCCGCGCTGAAATCGCGGCTCGACGTGTCCTGCTGTGAGTTTTTGTCCACTGAGATGTCCTTCTCGGGTTTATCTCAGCGAAACCCGAGGTCGTCAGATCGTCGACAGTCCCGAGGCGTCAGGTCTGCCATTTCGCCCCAGTTTGCCACTCGGAGTCGTCGGGAGTTCGTCAATCCCGAGGAGGGCCGTTGTCCTATCGCAACCGCGAAATTGGGCGGCAGTTTTCGTCGGCTGAGGTATATCCTCCCAGCGCTCGCGTTCGGTGGTGTCAAGCGGCGGAAGGAAGTCGACGCCGTTGAACTGACCGATCTGGTCGAGGATGAAGTGCAACCATAGGCCGGTCTCGCCGACGTCGCACAACTCCGCTTCCAGGTGTCGCGCCGCGTAGCTCTGCTGAAGACGGGCATCCTTGGAAGTCTTCGAGTTCCGCGCGGCGATCACCATGACGACTGGCTGGTTCTCCAGGTTTATCGACGAGGTGCTAGCCAGTCGGTACAAGAAGATGTCGGGGAGCGTGATCTCGCGGATGCTGGCGCCTCGCAGGAGAGTGTGGTGGGAGAGTAGCGTGAGCGCCTTGGTGAGCAGAAATCGCCACAGCGTCTGCGAAGGAGCGGTTGCCCGCGGGTTCCACGCCGACGCCGCCCATGTCGGCAGCACCTTCATCATGATCTGGCGGAACTGTTCGGCGGTGTAGGTATCGCCGATGGTGCCGCGACGCCGGTCGGCACAATTCCTGCCCACAAAGCACCGAGTATTTTGAGTTTGACGGCGTCGACTTCATAGTGACATGGACAGAGGTTGGCGGTGTCGACAAACTTACTTGACGTCCCTCTCGTTCTTGGTGCGGACCATGAACCGCACCTCCGATCTGACCACCGATATCTCCCGCATGATGCTCAGCTCCTTCTCCCGGTAGAGCGTCGCCTCCACTCTCGCCGCCATCTGGCATGCCTTTATGCGCCCGAGGAGCGTGTGCACCGTTGTACCTTGCACCGGCTGGGTTCGCGGGGCATTGTTCCCCTCCTCGATCGACTCGGCATCGAGCTGACACTCACGTATCATGAACTTCATATAGGCGCGCAGCCGGGTTTCGGTTACCCTAGGGCCGTGCAGCCAGATGTACTCTCGGGGGACCTCGGCCACTTTGTCCCAATTCTTCTTCTTGTTGTCCCGGATGTAGTGGCCGATCTCGTCGACGTGCCTAAGCCTGTGCTCCTGGGGAAGCTTGTCGCGTATTTGCGTCAGCATTTTTGCCGCCCACCTCTTGTAGTGGTAGATGAACGAGGTGTACAGCCTCAGCGTCGTGCTATTCTTCTCCAAGGTTTGCAGGTGGCGTAGGGCGTCTATGACCAGCACGTCGATGCTTGCGTAAACCATGTCGTCCTCGACGAAGTCTGCTGCTCTCCACTGTTCGCGTGGCACCGCCATGTTCTGCTCGTCCTCGTCCTCGTCCTGTTCTAGCATGTCATCTATGTATTCAAGTTCCCGCCGGAGGCGTTCTTCCAAGGTGCGCGGATTCGTGCTACGCGGAGGACGCTCGTCGTATTCGTCGTCGCTCTCCTCCTCCTCCTCCTCCTCCTCCTCCTCCTCCTCCTCCTCCTCCTCCTCCTCCTCCTCCTCCTCCTCCTCCTCCTCCTCCTCCTCCTCATCATCAACCTGGTTTCCTGAGCCGCCCGGTACCGACGAAGGTCCAGGCTGCCCAACTTGCGTCGGTGTGGACTTACTAGCTGGCTTGGTAAACTCTCCTATCGGCGGTGGGGGAATGTCCTTGGTGAACTCCCCTTCTGGAATCTGTGTCAGTGCGTCAAGTTCGTAGAGTAGCTTGAGCGTCTCTTCGGGGGTAGAGGTCTCAATGTGGTCGGTTGGGGGACCAACGTCGGGCATGTCGACGTCTGCCATGAGGCCGCTCGTAGTTTGCTATACCGTCGACCGTGTTCGAGGTAAGGGATGGACCACCAGAGACGGTACTGAGTCGCGGGTGTGGTGTACACCCGATGAGTTGCTCAGGCGTCTTCGTCGGATTCTCTCTCAAGTGCTTCTAACTCAGCGGCGAGCTCGAGGCGTTCCAGCTGTGCTTTGATGTCGGCGTCTACAGAGTCGGCAGGGGGTGGGATGGGTTGCGGCTGTTGGGCTCTAGGCCGTGCTCTGGACATGCGTCGCCGACCTAGTTAGTTGTGATCGGTTACCTAAACACGCTACCGGTGCCGACGTGATCGATTGGTCGGCGCACGAGTAACCCACACTCGCGAAGATAGCTAGGGAGAGGAAAATTCAAAGTGGAAGAGGGAGCAGGAAGGAACGCAGGAACGCACAATGGAATGAGCACCAGCGCAAGGTCACGGAGGGGTATGGTCGTGAGCGACTCCCGATTTTGCCGCGCTTCACGCAACCCCCTATGCTTGTGCCGCTATGCATGTGTTCTCGTGCGGCGGCGCATTGTCCGACGTGCCACGAGCCATGCATGGCTAATGGGTCGCCGCGCTGCACTCACGGGGCGTAAGCCTGGGCACGTCCACGGTGGTATGTGCATGCGTTACGTGGCGTGGGCCCATCATTGGTGCCTCTACGCAGAAACGCCGACATGCCGACTTCCATTGCCTAAGGGCACGGAGTTATTGAAGAGCCGCGTGGCAAGCCCACCGTGAGCCCTCGTGGTCGACGCCGACTTTCGTGGTCCGGACAATCCCGTTGGATCCTTAGTCGACACCGACATGGCGAGCAGCTCGCGATGCCAGACAACTGTAACATTTTTTGACGGACAGATCTTCGCCGCGTGGATCGGCCACCGACAAATTTGGGCGCGCAGTGGAGTTCCCGCGCTGAAATCGCGGCTCTACGTGTCGTGCGGTGAGTTTTTGTCCGCTGAGATGTCCTTCTCGGGTTTATCTCAGCGAAACCCGAGGTCGTCAGATCGTCGACAGTCCCGAGGCGTCAGGTCTGCCATTTCGCCCCAGTTTGCCACTCGGAGTCGTCGGGAGTTCGTCAATCCCGAGGAGGGCCGTTGTCCTATCGCAACCGCGAAATTGGGCGGCAGTTTTCGTCGGCTGAGGTATATCCTCCCATATACACAGTACAGGGTTTGTAGTTAGAGGGCACCGACAGGTCACTGATTTTAGTGTTGATTCGTTTCTTCATTGTCACGTGCCACTGATGCAACTGGTAACCGTCCCTAGCGAACTTTCCGTTACAGCCTGCGCAACAACCTCATGGGGTCGCCCCCGTTCAGAGAAAACTGCACGTGGGTCCAGTCCTGACTTGGTGCTGACAAGGCAGCGTGTTCCGACGGGGCAGTTTCATTTGGCGGGTACGTGTGTCAGTTCGATTTGGTTGTTTGGTCTGTGTGAGGGCAGTTGGGGCGTGCGAATAACCGCTGGCATTCATTTAGAGCACATTGAATGCAACCATAGCCACAAGTGTTCTGAAACCAAGGAGTACACTTGTGGCTGATGGCTTCCTTGAGTTTGGTGGCAAAAAATGTCCAGTCTGCTTGTCAGTGGCTGCTGGCAGAGAAGCCTCCGTATCCAATCACGCGGCTGTCAGGGTGTCAGCTTCGGCTAAGGACGTGTTACGGTCGCCTCTTATCTGCTGTGATCTGGTCGGGTCGGGTTGCCCCTGATTGCATCGCTCGCGCCGCCCGATCAGATGAGATATTCTTCGAGCATTCAGCGAGGGTGCATGGCAAGCGTGCCACCCCTTCCTGACACTTCCTGTCCATTGATCTAGCAATTTTCACTGTCTCCATGTAACTTAGCATAAACAGGTGCCCAGAAATGCTGTAGCTCCAGAACCATCCAGCGAAAGTTCTTGCCAGGTTGGTTGGTTGTGCGAGTGCTTCACGATACCCAGCACAATACCGTAACTTCTCGCAAGCGTCGCTTGGTAGCCCAAACCAATGCAATCAACTGATCGTCGGTGATTGGGTGGGGTTGTGTTTGATTGGGCGGTTTTAGGCGGTTGATCGAGTTGGGGCGATCAGCTGATCGCGATCAAGTGATTGCCCCCGATTGCCCGAAATTGCCACCTTAGCTTCCCAGAAGTTTTCGATCGAGTCTGATCATGGCAATCAGAGGCGAACCGTAACACATCCTAAGTTTCGATCACCCCCTTCCCAGCAACCGGAGCGACGCCCACATTTTCCCAGACCCCTGTCTGCACAGATGAGCATGTACGATTCCCCCCAGGGTTTTCTAAAAGAGTTTGTTGCATAAACTACCGTGTTCTCCCGCAAAGGTTTAAATTCTATCACATGCTCTGAATCTCCAACAGCCCCTCTCAACTAGTATTCACTTCACACCCAGAAGAAACTCCACGCCTAGTTGCCAAACCAAATTCACGTGAAAATTAATCCACACCGTTTCCACCAGCCACCCTGTGCATCCTCCACCACTGCCACCACGCCACCCACCTAGCCTGACCAGTGTCCAGGCGCTTGCCTCCTCCCCCACCCTCCCCCCACCTTGTGGGCTTGTCTTTTGCCTCGTCGTCGTCGTGAAATTCTCAGCTCAGCAGCGGAATGCCATTCGTCCCCACCTGCCATTTGCTGCCTGATTCCCAGCTCCATCCAACCACCCCTCACCTCTAGATAGTGTACCTGTCAGATCGGAGGCCCAAGTCCCGGACCAGAGGGGAGAGGGAAGGAAGCCCTCTCGCTCCCGCCCAACTTCGCCCCTTCCCTCCTCGCGGTTCACCCTTCATTGTTCACCTCGCCCCTGTTCCCAGCCTCGTCTCACCTCGCCTCGCCGCCTTTGCCTGGCAGGCAACATTGCTCAACTCAACTCAACCACTTTGCTGCCTGTATCCCTCCCTACCATCATGTCACACCATCCTTTCGTTACAGCGCTTTTGCAGCAAGGCCGTTTCCAGGCCCCAAATTGATAGGTCCAATTTCAGCTTGCTGCATTTTCCTTCGTGCCTCGTTCTCCTCCGTCCATTCCTACCAACCAAGGCCACTTTTTCTCAACCCACTCAGAAGTTGTGGCATTGGTGGAACTCTTAGGTTTGTCTCACCCCATTCAGGAAATCCAAGCATCTCGCTCACGATACATTGCCTGCAGCGACTTGGCCTGGTCCGAGGAGCCCTGTTCCCACGGCAACCTTGGTGTTTGCTGGCTAGATCGATCAAATTTGTTCTGGCAAGCTGACTGTTTTCAATAAACGTCAACCGCAACAGGAAACGCTGTCCGGAAAACCTTATCCGCATTTTTAATCCACTTCTAAGTCCCTCAGCAGAAGAGGTTCTGCACGTGCCTCGTAGATCAATCTGGCAAATCTGGTGCTCGCGACGACTCTGACTTGGATGAGCCATGGCGTTCTCCCAAATGAGCTTTATGGACGCCCTTCGAGTCGCCTCGAGGACAAAGGATGCGCCGCCGGCTTGGCTGCCGAACCGCCAGTGGCCGGCAGAACTGACGGACCCTGCGTTTTTGCCGACCGTCAAGAAACGGAAGCCGTGCACATTTGAGCCCTACCAGCCGCCGCATCTCACGTCGCTCTCGGCTCCCGACGGTGCGGTGCCGGTCATTTCATCGCCGTCGTGTTCCGTTTCATCTACGAAGCTGCTCGTGATGCCGAGCGGGCCGTTCCGTATCGACTCGCCTGCGTACGACTCCTCTCGTGAAACGACTTCCCGAACGTTCTACTCTGATTTTGATCCTCCTCTCCTTCGCGCTATGTCGACGCCAGCACATCCGTCCCGCAGCAGTGCACTTCGTGATGTCTCCCCGCTTCGATTGGCCGAGCCGCCTCTGCTACGAACGTCCACGTGTCGTGCCGCCACAAGGAGCTCGCTTTCGCGAGCCGTTTTGGGGAATCGTATTGGTGAACTCGCTACATCCTCCTCTGAGCCCTTTTTGGCTTCTGACGGCGAACTTCCGAAATCGTCGTCGTCGAATCAGCTGACCAGCCAGGTCAATTTTCAGCAGAGCAGGACGAAACGTGAGTTCGCTTCGTGTAACGACGTTACCAGCACCTGTTCGCTTAGTTCGGGCTCGGAATGGGTGAATCCCTCGGCGCTCGCATCGTCATTGCGCGGCGAAAAAGCTGGGCGCTCCGTGGCTGACTTGATGGATCCAGGGCGTGTGCTGGTGCCAGAGCTAGGGAAAGCTGTGCGACTTTTGCGAAGGAAATTGTCGCAGGAGCGACAACATCAGCAGCAAAAGCCCCCAGTTCCCCTACCTAGTACGGCGACATGGGAACAACCGAAGCAGAATTCGCAAAAGTCGCAAGCGCAGAAATTCACTCAAAAATTGCCTGCGGAAAACCCACCGTCGTCTGCTTCGGTCCCAGCGGAGGGAAATCACGGCCGAGATTTCAGCCTGCCCGAGATTCTGCAGTGGGAGGGGGGAGTTTTTGCAAAGTCCGCCGGGCAGCAGACCGAAGGGACTTTGGCGATGAAATTGTCTGGCAAGTTTACATTTTGCGCGGATGATAGGGTGGGGGATGCGCAACCAGCACGGGCGGCTGCGGAAGGGTTTGGCGGAGAAGTGCGCGACGAAGACAAGCTGTGCATTCACGAGCTTCTGGGGCAAATCACTGGCGAGTACGGGGGTGACGAAGCGGGGGCCGCGGCGGAGCGGATGGAATGCGATGGTGAAGCTGACTTCGTGTCCAATCACAGCGTTCCTTCGAATTTTACACCGTTACCAGCACCAGAAGCAGGCATCTCGGCTCCGCCAAATGCTCGCCGGAAAAGGCCACCTCCTCCTCCCCCACTTGTCGATGTCGCGAATGTCGCATGTGCTGCTTTTGCTGAAATTTGTAACTCTGAAGGCGGTGTTTCCTCGGACTCTCCGGATTTAGCAGCAGAAACAGGAGCAGCAGGAGGGACAGGAGCAGCAGTAACACCTCCAGCTGAAGCATCAGCTGCTGCATCAATAGCAGCAACAGCAGAGCTTCCATGCCCCACACCTACAGGCTGGGGAACCAGCCAATGGGAGCGATTCTTTCCTGCCGAACCACCCACTCCCTCAGGTGTGGGACCTACATCCGCATCCATGGCTTGTGCTGGAGGTGGTGCTACTGGCGGCAGTGGTGCTGGTACTGCTGGTGGTACTGGCGCTAATGGTGGCGGTTTCGCCTCTTTATGGTCAGAGGCATGGACAGAGGGGTTCAATGTGGATCTCTCTGGTTTGACTGGCAACCCTGGCTTGTGGTAATGGCAATAATAGCATATTCCTACGGCCTCATATCAGGCCATCTCGTATCAAGATTGTACTTTTTGCCTGGTAAAACTAGCGAGAGGCTTCGGGTTCAGGTAATTTTCAGTGTGAGCCTGATATGAGGTTCTCTTGATACGAGGTGTAGGAATACGCTCTAAGAGCTGGTTGTTCAACAATGACCCTCCGCTCGTGCTGCATGCAACTCCCTACTCCTGTGGTCCACTACCTTTACCTCTCAATAATTCTGATAATATGCTAACAATTGCATATGTATTCCACGGTCTGGTCCAATTTATTTATTGTCCTGTTGGCCTGCATCAGAAATTGGTTTGGTGTAGAAATTAATCTTAACGAAGAGAATCGTAACACGATGGTGGGACAAAAGTCGCGAGTGTGACCTCGCGAATTTGCAGACCCAGTTTCTCCAAATGTCCCCGCCACGGTTGGTGGCGACGCACATTGCACACCAGAGCAAAAATGTCGCGCCTCGACAGCAATTCCCTTCAGCCTAGCAGCACCAATAATTTTGCAGACTGCAACACAGCAAATTCTCCCAAGCAGGCATGGATACTTCCACCAATATTGCTATAATTGCTCATTCACAGTTGTTAACACCAATAATTGCGTCGAATGCTTTGCCAAGCCGCAAGAAGCGACATCGCCATGATTCGCGCCGCATCTTCCGTTCCCCTCGCCTCGCCAGCCTGTACCCCTCTCGGGTTCCTTCCGAGTTATAAAATCCAGGTCGCAGCCGCTTTATCACCATCCAGTGCGCCACATTAATTTTCAAGAAACTTAGGATTCATTCGTTGTTCACAGTCGCTTTTCGCAGGGACATCTCCCTATCCGCCTAGCAACAATTCTCTCGATAGCACAACGAAAGCAGCATGGCTCGCTTCTCTGTGTTCTTGACTCTCGCGTTTCTCGTCGCGTTCATCCTCGCGCTTTCCTATTGCTCGCCTGCAGACGGCCGCCTGCTTGTTCCGTTAAGAGGTAAACCGCCAACCGTTTATGACTTCTGTCGGAGGACATAGAGTCGGAATGGTCAAGTGCATTTCGCACTTCAAAATGTCGGCACAATGTGCATGCTTCACAAAGCCTAGTCGACATACGCTCGGAAATCTATTATTTAAATTTCTGCTCTCTGTGCAGCTGGCAGGTGCTGTGACGAAGACGGCGACTCAGACTGCATTCACGCGGACGACCGGCGGAATGAGGCGATTGCTTGATGAGGATAATGACGATGACGATCATGACAACGACGATGACAATGACAAAGACGACAACGATCACGACAACCATAACGACGATAACGACAGGCACGACGACGATAACGACGGGCACGACGACCATGACGACCATGACGACCATGACAACAGCGGCAGGGATAACAATGGCAAGGACCTCAGCAAATGCGTGGAGAAGTATAAGCGAGCGGTGCAGTGGTGCATGGTGGTACCCTTGAAGGACGAGTGTGATAAGAAGGCTTATAAGGCGTACAAAGAGTGCAAGAGCAAGAACTGAACTTGCATTGCAAGGAGGGTAGATGAAATAGCGTGAGGGAATGGTAGTCAGGAATTTAAGGGCGGCACTGGAACTTGGAAGGTACCGGTAATTGGGCAGCAGAAGGCTGGGAGGTCAAGAAATAAAAGGTCGGCACATCATACCATGGAGTGCTGTAGATGCCGGTGTTCAGAGATGGAGGTAGGCTTTATGCGTCAGCTAATAATGAAGAACAGAGGCAGAGGGACTTAGTAAGCTGTGGTCATATAGTGGTTAACACTTCTCTGCTTGTTATGAAGTAGCAATAATATTGGATGTACACGCTTGGAAATTTGAGAATGATGACTTGGATGGTCAAGCTTTCCTTTTGGGAGCCATCTCAAGAATATCCCCTATCTCCTCCAGGGACAACCCCTTCGTTTCAATCACACAATAATAGACAAATGCTATGGACATAAAGCACACGGAAGCAAAGAAAATGTACACCCCATGGACCCCAACCACAGTTGTTGCTGGAAGAAAGAAGCATCCGACACAAAAGTTGCACACCTGGCAGAAAGTGGGGAAGAAACAAAATGTAGGGGATGACGTGAAAAATCAGGCTCCTCTAAAACAAATTTAGTAAGAAGTTGGAACAAGAGAACAGCCGGGCATGGCCGACAAACAAAGAGCCAACATACCCAGTGAACAGCCATGCTGCAGGCATGGCCGACAATCGGTGAGACAACATATTCAGTGAACAGCTATGCTGCAGGCACCCCTGCAGCTCGCATGAGTAATACCAGATATGGTACACCACCAGACACCAGACACAAACACCAGGCAGGCACACCAGACACAGCAAGGGCACTGCAGGCAAGGCAAGGGCACAGGCGACAAACAAGAGTTGAAGAATGCAACTTACCCAGTGAACGGCCATGCTGAAGGCCACTCCTGCAGCCCGCACTTCCACGGGGAATATCTCTGGAAGCAACAGGCTGGGTATGGGGCCCACTCCACAGGAAAATGCTGTCACGTACCTGCAGTCGTATAATGATTGATAATGAATTATGGACAAGAGACAAGCGTTGTCATTTGTATAAGTTGAACCAAAGAATTCAGAGGAGAATGCGGACGAGTACAATGCTGTTGCACATCTATTATTCATAGTGCTGGAATAATTAATCAACATGGACAGGCGAGATGTATTATCAGCCTTGGGACCATAGCACGGTGCATAGAAATACAACACTGTATTGTTTGCTTGATTTTCCAGGCATTTGTGATAGTAACAAATGCTGGAGCTTTAATGAATGCGTGGTAGTAAAAGACGGAGCAAACCAATGTGCTCATCTTACGCGATTGTGCCGATAACAGACAGAAGTGGCGCCCAGGGTTGCAGGAGAGGCAAGGAGAGGACAGCTGAGAGGAACAACATAGAGCACCCCTGAAGCATCGCCATTCATGGATTTCGAGGGAGGGTGAGGAGGGGAGGGTGAGGGAGGGAGGGAGAGGAAGGGAGAGGGAGGAAGGGGGGGAGAGGAAGGGAGGGTGAGGAAGGGAGAGAGAGGAAGAGAGGGAGATGAGGAGAGGAAGAGAAGGAAAAACGAAAAAAACTCAAGAGAAAGTGGAAGTGATTCTGGAAGTGCTTTAGTGGATCAATAGCATTTGTCGAAAAGAGGCGCGTTAGAGATACAAATGAGGCATTTGTGCACTCTGCACTACACTGCAATTCACTGCACCACTCTGAACTGCACCAAGCCACATTGTTTTCCCGTACCATGCCAAGGAAGGAGAGCAGGAGAAGGGGCTTTCTCCCTGCAGAGTCAACCAGACGAGCGGCCAGCAGCACAGCTGGTGGGGGGGAGGGACAGAGAGAAACAAGAGGAAAGAAATAAATATGAAAAACGAGATAAATGAGAGAAATAAGAGGAACGAGAGAGATGAGAGCAACAAGAGGATGAAGGAGAGTGCATGGGAGAGACATGACATGGGAGGCGAAGAGGTTGGATAACAGGAAACGTTATGAACAGCGCGGGTTTGAACAGCACAATAAGGGCACAGTGCGATCAGGGGAGAGGCAGCTATGCTGGAGGAGGGGAAGTAAGCAAAGAATAATGCAGGACACACAAGGGAGCGAGTTTTTGAGTGGAATTCGAGATTGCATGTTAGGATGGTTGTTGAGTCGACTCAAAAGTCAGTGGAATTCGAGATTGCATGTTAGGATGGTTGTTGAGTCGACTCAAAAGTCAGTGGAATTCGAGATTGCATGTTAGGATGGTTGTTGAGTCGACTCAAAAGTCAGTGGAATTCGAGATTGCATGTTAGGATGGTTGTTGAGTCGACTCAAAAGTCAGTGGAATTCGAGATTGCATGTTAGGATGGTTGTTGAGTCGACTCAAAAGTCAGTGGAATTCGAGATTGCATGTTAGGATGGTTGTTGAGTCGACTCAAAAGTCAGTGGAATTCGAGATTGCATGTTAGGATGGTTGTTGAGTCGACTCAAAAGTCAGTGGAATTCGAGATTGCATGTTAGGATGGTTGTTGAGTCGACTCAAAAGTCAGTGGAATTCGAGATTGCATGTTAGGATGGTTGTTGAGTCGACTCAAAAGTCAGTGGAATTAGAGATTGCATGTTAGGATGGTTGTTGAGTCGACTCAAAAGTCAGTGGAATTAGAGATTGCATGTTAGGATGGTTGTTGAGTCGACTCAAAAGTCAGTGGAATTCGAGATTGCATGTTAGGATGGTTGTTGAGTCGACTCAAAAGTCAGTGGAATTCGAGATTGCATGTTAGGATGGTTGTTGAGTCGACTCAAAAGTCAGTGGAATTCGAGATTGCATGTTAGGATGGTTGTTGAGTCGACTCAAAAGTCAGTGGAATTCGAGATTGCATGTTAGGATGCTTGTTGAGTCGACTCAAAAGTCAGTGGAATTCGAGATTGCATGTTAGGATGGTTGTTGAGTCGACTCAAAAGTTAGTGGAATTCGAGATTGCATGTTAGGATGGTTGTTGAGTCGACTCAAAAGTCAGTGGAATTCGAGATTGCATGTTAGGATGGTTGTTGAGTCGACTCAAAAGTCAGTGGAATTCGAGATTGCATGTTAGGATGGTTGTTGAGTCGACTCAAAAGTCAGTGGAATTCGAGATTGCATGTTAGGATGGTTGTTGAGTCGACTCAAAAGTCAGTGGAATTCGAGATTGCATGTTAGGATGGTTGTTGAGTCGACTCAAAAGTCAGTGGAATTCGAGATTGCATGTTAGGATGGTTGTTGAGTCGACTCAAAAGTCAGTGGAATTCGAGATTGCATGTTAGGATGGTTGTTGAGTCGACTCAAAAGTCAGTGGAATTCGAGATTGCATGTTAGGATGGTTGTTGAGTCGACTCAAAAGTCAGTGGAATTCGAGATTGCATGTTAGGATGCTTGTTGAGTCGACTCAAAAGTCAGTGGAATTCGAGATTGCATGTTAGGATGCTTGTTGAGTCGACTCAAAAGTCAGTGGAATTCGAGATTGCATGTTAGGATGGTTGTTGAGTCGACTCAAAAGTTAGTGGAATTCGAGATTGCATGTTAGGATGGTTGTTGAGTCGACTCAAAAGTCAGTGGAATTCGAGATTGCATGTTAGGATGGTTGTTGAGTCGACTCAAAAGTCAGTGGAATTCGAGATTGCATGTTAGGATGGTTGTTGAGTCGACTCAAAAGTCAGTGGAATTCGAGATTGCATGTTAGGATGGTTGTTGAGTCGACTCAAAAGTCAGTGGAATTCGAGATTGCATGTTAGGATGGTTGTTGAGTCGACTCAAAAGTCAGTGGAATTCGAGATTGCATGTTAGGATGGTTGTTGAGTCGACTCAAAAGTCAGTGGAATTCGAGATTGCATGTTAGGATGGTTGTTGAGTCGACTCAAAAGTCAGTGGAATTCGAGATTGCATGCTAGGATGGTTGTTGAGTCGACTCAAAAGTCAGTGGAATTCGAGATTGCATGTTAGGATGGTTCACACGTACCTGCTAGCTTGAACAAGGCGATCAGAACAGAAGCGGCAATGCCGGAGGAAAATCCAGCAGAGCGGAAGATGTGGGAGGAGAAGTAAACGACCGCGTTGATGCCTGCAAACTGCTGCAGGGCGAAGAGCGCGGGGCCTAAGAGGAGCACTGGAATCGGGAGATGGGAGAAGGGAAAGGGAGAAGGCCGGGAGATGGTTTGAGGCAGCATGGGCCGTGCATGAGAGGAGAAGTAGACAACCGCGTTGATGCCCGAGAACTGCTGCAGGGCGAAGAGAAGGGCGCCTAGCAGCAGCACTGGAAGGGGTGGGGGGTGTCGTTGAGGGGAAGTGGAAGGGCGGGAAATGGTTCAAGAGGGTTCTGGAAAGACGTGAGGGGAGAAGTAAACGACCGCGTTGATGCCTGCGAACTGCTGCAGGGCGAAGAGCGTGGGGCCTATCAGGAGCACTGGAGATAGGGAAAGGAGATAGGGGAAGGCGCAGGGGGTTGGGAGGAGGAGACAGAAGAGCATCTGGATCAACGTTGTCAGGGTATGCGACCGCGTGCTTCTCCAACGGGGTAGACTTTTGAGCCGACTCAAAAGTCAACAGGGTACGCGGCCGCGCACTTCTCCAACGGGGTACGCAAGGAGAAGTATAACGGGGGATAGTGAAGAGTTTGAGGCTCCTCAAATGCAGTGAAGTGAAAGGGCTTCCACGCGACAGACGACGTGGAAAGAGTCATTTTTAGAGTTATCAAAATCCGGAGAAGATATCCAGTCATGCGAGGAGAAGTGCATCGAACGTTGATGCTCTTGACAGGGGGAAGGTGCTTCTGAGTTTTTTTTTTTTTTTTTAGAAATCTAAAGAACGAATCAGCTTTTGCTGCTGTAGCAGCAAAGCAATGGAGGTGGAGTTGTGAGGCCGAGAGGAAGCGGGGAAGAGCAGGAAGAAAGAACATCCCCTCAGCTCACAAACCCCACCTCATTCCACTCTTCCACATCCTCCCATCCTCCTCCTCCCCACCACTTCACCTCGTCGATATCTTGGATGGAAGAGAGAGGCAGGAGCGGGCAGAGCAGAGTAGCTGCTGTTGAGCAGAGGTGAGAGCAGGGTGGTGCTGATTGCATGATGAGCAGCAGGTGACGAGGTTTGCGTTTCCAGTGCTGACTGAGATGCTGCTGATGAGTATGGGTGGGATGGCTTCAGTGCTTCGTGTGGTGACACGTGTGCTGGCTCTTGTGCTGGTTGTGCTGACGTCAGTGCTGCTGGTTGTGCTGACGTGAGCTCCTGTAACACCTCTACTGCCCCCTCCGTTCCTCTCAGAATCACTGCTGCTCGCGCTGCTGCGGGCAAACTGTGGTGCTGGGGTGGATAGGGACGGGGATGGATGGGCAGAGAGAGAAACTAGGTTCGAAAATCACTGAACCTGACGTGAGTTCCTGTAGCACCTCCTCCGCCCCCTCCGTTCCTATCAGAATCACTGCTGCTCGCGCTGATGCGTGCAGGCTGTGGTGCTGGTGAGTGAGGGGACAGGCAGGGAGCAAGAGGGAATGGGCAGAGATTGGAAGGGAAGGAAATGAGGAGGAAAGGAGAGAGTGGGATTTGCAGCAGGGATAGGCACCAAATCTTCTCCAACACCACTGCAGAAATTTGCTACCGCTGCACTGCAGAATTTGACACCACTGCAAGCAGCAACACTACCAGAAGCAGGCTGGCGCAGAGGGTGTTTCAACTGGACACTGTAAACAAATAACAGGGTCTGCTCTACAGACGAATTTTGAGTTGGGCAGTATTTTGTATGCGCAGTGCGCAATGTAGTACGACCCGCTGGAGCAAACCTTGCAAGCCACAGTATGAGCCTCTAGCTCGCAATGTGCGTGCCGACGAGTGCTAGTGTGTGCTGGTGCGTGCCAGCCAGAGTGTGCCGGTGCCTGCCGGTGCGTGCCAGTGTGTGCCAGTGTGTGCTGGTGGTGCTGGTGCATGCCGGTGTGTGCCGGTGCGTGCCGGTGCATGCCGATGTGTGCTGGTGGTGCTGGTGCGTGCCGGTGCGTGCCTGCGATGCACACAGCCATTTTGACAGAGTGGCACCAGGCCAGGGTGCACACATCCCTTCTACGCCTAGAGAGGGGGCACCAGGGGCCGGAGAGATTGCAACATACAAGCAGCAGCCAACGGGGAGTCTCTGGTGCCGCAAATGCCATGCCGAGCAGCAAGAGGCAGGGAGGGAGAGCGCCCAGGAGAAACATGCCACGCCACCTGCAAACATAGGAGTGCAGTGCAGTGAAGAGCGGTTTTGTGAGTTAGTAGCAGCCAGCAGAGCAGCACGAGACAGGGAGGTATAGAGCCCAGGAAAAAAATGCCACACCACCTGCAGGAACAGGAGCAGGAATAGGAATACAGTGCGGTGAAATGCGGTTCTGTGAATGAGCAACAGCCACGGGGCAGGGGTTGGGGGGGGCTTCTGCTGCTACCACTGCCATGGCGAGCAGCAAGGGACAACAGAGCAGAAAAGACGCCAGTACTGGCGGAGAGCAGCAGGAATGACTGATTTTGGTACGGTGCAATGCGGTACCATGAGCAAGAAGCAGAGCACGCACGATGGAGATTAAATGCATGCGTGCCTCACCAGCTGTGATGTCGCTCCCGAGGCAAGCCGGCTAGGGAAGACACCAGGGCAGAGAAGACGTTAGCTCAGCGCTCAGCACCAGGGCGTTAGCTCAGCTCTGAGTGCTGCGTTGAGTGCTGCGTTGAGTGTTGAGCTGAGTGTTGAGCTGAGTGCTGCGCTGAGTGCTGCGCTGAGTGCTGAGCTGAGTGCTGCGCTGAGTGCTGCGCTGAGTGCTGCTCTGAGTGCTGCGCTGAGTGCTGCGCTAACGCCTCAATAGCATCAGCTGTTCTGTGAGGCAACAGATACATCATCAGTGCCTCACGAGCTGTTCTGTTACCTTCTGAGGCAACATGCATACATGCATACATGTTACCCTCAAAATGCATACATGCATGCCTCACCCACCAACTGTGATCTTGCTCCAGATGCAAGCCAATGAGCAGAGCAGAGAAGACGCCAACGCTTGTTGAAAGCTGAGCCAACGTGCCCCATGTGCCGCGAGATGAGGTGGGGGTTACCTGCGAGAGGGAAGGTGGGAGGAGAAGGTGAGGGTAACGTTGAAAGAGAGAGAGAGAGACGAGGAGGGCTGAGCTGAACCAACCTGCCCCATGTGACCCAAGATGATGTGGGTAAGCCCACATCATTACCTACGTGGGAGGATAAGGTTGGGGAAAGGAGGGTGGAGTAAGAGGGGTAAATGGAGAAATAGCTCAGGATATCTCAAGGGCAACTGGAAGAGTACCCCGGACCGGATGCACAGTGAAGAAACTCAAACAAGCAGCACATGGAATCGAATGTCGCTGTTCCTTGCAGTAGAGCACAGAGAATTTATATAGCAGAAAGCAGGCTAACAGAGACAGCAGCTAGGTATAAAAACAACTAAAGCATTACAATACATATTGAAAAGAATGACTCAACACAGTACCTCGGAAGTAAAACAGAGCAACTTATCAGTACCTCAGATATGTAGAGAGGAACAGAGCCAGATACGATTCCCAGGCCAATCCCAACAAGCGCTCGGCCAATCACCATGTGACGCGTGGCAGATGCTGCAGCACTGCGCTGCAGAGGGTGGGAGGGAGTTTGTACGTTGAGATCAGTGTGGGTTAATGCGGTTCGATGCAGTGCATGACCTATAATGAGGTGTAATGAGGCGCCAATGAGATTCACGAGGCACAACATGGTGCAATGCGGTGCAATACGTAGCAATGAGGTGCAGCCAGAGATCAAAATAGAGAGCGGGAATGCGTGGGAGGGAGGGAATGTGAGTGGCGTGGGGAGCGGGAATGCGTGGGAGGGAGGGAATGTGAGTGGCGTGGGGAGCGGGAATGCGTGGGAGGGAGGGAATGTGAGTGGCGTGGGGAGCGGGAATGCGTGGGAGGGAGGGAATGTGAGTGGCGTGGGGAGCGGGAATGCGTGGGAGGGAGGGAATGTGAGTGGCGTGGGGAGCGGGAATGCGTGGGAGGGAGGGAATGTGAGTGGCGTGGGGAGCGGGAATGCGTGGGAGGGAGGGAATGTGAGTGGCGTGGGGAGCGGGAATGCGTGGGAGGGAGGGAATGTGAGTGGCGTGGGGAGCGGGAATGCGTGGGAGGGAGGGAATGTGAGTGGCGTGGGGAGCGGGAATGCGTGGGAGGGAGGGAATGTGAGTGGCGTGGGGAGCGGGAATGCGTGGGAGGGAGGGAATGTGAGTGGCGTGGGGAGCGGGAATGCGTGGGAGGGAGGGAATGTGAGTGGCGTGGGGAGCGGGAATGCGTGGGAGGGAGGGAATGTGAGTGGCGTGGGGAGCGGGAATGCGTGGGAGGGAGGGAATGTGAGTGGCGTGGGGAGCGGGAATGCGTGGGAGGGAGGGAATGTGAGTGGCGTGGGGAGCGGGAATGCGTGGGAGGGAGGGAATGTGAGTGGCGTGGGGAGCGGGAATGCGTGGGAGGGAGGGAATGTGAGTGGCGTGGGGAGCGGGAATGCGTGGGAGGGAGGGAATGTGAGTGGCGTGGGGAGCGGGAATGCGTGGGAGGGAGGGAATGTGAGTGGCGTGGGGAGCGGGAATGCGTGGGAGGGAGGGAATGTGAGTGGCGTGGGGAGCGGGAATGCGTGGGAGGGAGGGAATGTGAGTGGCGTGGGGAGCGGGAATGCGTGGGAGGGAGGGAATGTGAGTGGCGTGGGGAGCGGGAATGCGTGGGAGGGAGGGAATGTGAGTGGCGTGGGGAGCGGGAATGCGTGGGAGGGAGGGAATGTGAGTGGCGTGGGGAGCGGGAATGCGTGGGAGGGAAGGAGTGAAGGACGAATATAGATACGAATTGTTGAACATACTAATTCAGAACAACAAGGCACCAATAAATTATCACTTTCTTCTGCCTTCATCCCTCCCGTCTATCCTTCACAAGCCCCTCCTCCCTTCTTTCCCCCACTTTCCCCCACTTTCCCCCACTCTCTTTCCCCAGCTCTCTTTCCCCCGCTCTCTTTCCCCCGCTCTCTTCCCCCCGCTCAATTTCCCCCACTCACTTTCCCCCACTCTCTTTCCCCCACTCTCTTTCCCCACTCTCTTTCCCCCGCTCTCTTTCCCCCCTCCCACCCAACAACCCCAACCCATTTGCTCCTCCCTCTGCCACGTCTGAATGTTCCCCACGACACACCTGGGCAGCGAGTCAGCCGTAAACCGATTTCAGAGTCGACTGAAAAATAAATCACGCCTGACTGTTTCCCCACTACACACACACCTGAGCAGCGATCCAGCAATGAACGGCAGGGCGGCAATCTGAAACGCCCGCCTCCTCCCTGCCACGTCAGCAAGCCACCCCCCCAGCGGTGCCCCCACTGCTGCTAGCGCCAGTGGGATGCTCACAACCAGTGCTGCATGCATGGACGGATGGTGGAGGGAGAGTGGGGACGAGGGGACAAGAGGGGAGAAAGCGAGGCAAAAGCAGCGAGAGATGGACGGGGATACGACAGAAAGGTGGGGGAGGAAGGAGAGGGGTTGCCTCAAAAAGCCATGGCCCAAGTGGTGCCGCCACTGCTGCCAGCGCCGATGAGACGCTCACAACCAGCACTGGATGGATGGATGGATGGTGGGGGAAGAGTGGGGACGAGGTGTCAAGAGGGGGGAAAGAGGGGGGAAAGAGAGGGAAAGCAGGTACAGAAGGACGGGGATATGAGAGAGAGGTGGGGGAGGAGAGCGAGAGCCAATGGGATGCTCTGAATCAGTGCTGGATGAAAAGGGGGAGAGAGGAGGGGAGAAGGGGGGAATAGGGGGGGAAAGAAGGGGGAAAGAAGGGAAAAGAATAGGCCAAGAGAAGGAGGATAGGACGGTGGATAGGGAGGGGAGGGACAGCAGAAAGGGCAGAGGGACAGGATAGTGGACGCACTCAGTGCCACGTACTGACATGCTATGTACTTTGCTACTTACATACCTGTGACTTAATTAAGTGTTACTTCAGGCTGCCATGCTGGATAGGGTTGGTGCAGGTCCACGTGTAGGAAGAGAATAGACGCGTTGAATCTATTTAGTAACAGTCTATTTACTCATGTGCTGCAAAAGAGCTACTACTGTCTTGCATGCTGCAACACTGGTTGCGGGTTAGTGTAGGTCAGCCAGAGGGAAGGGGAGAGACGTGTTGATAACGCTGACTAGCGTCCTCATAACATACATGCCCGAAAGCGCTATTACTTACACGCTGCCATGCTGGTTGCAGGTTGGTGGAGGTCAGCCAGAAGGAAGGGCAGCGAGGCGTTGATAACACTGGTGGGAACAGGTAGGGGATGAGATGGGATTGTATAGGGAGAAGATAGATCGTTTATGGAAGCTGAAGAAGGACAGAGATGGGTGGGATGGGATGGGATGGTAAGGGATGGAGTGTGGTACATTGAGGCGCAAAGTGGTGGAAATGACAAGGGCGCTGTGAAGTGATGCGTTCTTTGAGAAGCATACGCAACCATTTGGGGATGCGTCAGGTTTGCTCTATCAGAAGCATACGCAACCATTTGGGAATGCGTCAGGTTCGCCACAAAGAGCATTATGCAAAGAGGGAAAAAAAAGAAAATGCGAATATAAACTGTAACAGTGTCATACCTGACATGGTAACCAAAGGAGAGACCCCCACAGCAGGCGAAGAGAACAGGCAGCGCCACCCCCACCCCTCCGTACCGTCCCTTCCCCACCGCTCTCCTCCCCAACCCATAGCTCCCTCCTCCCAACACCCGGCCCCAAAACATGCCCTTCGATTCTTTCGTTAAATAAGACAACGGCTCCTTCCTCCCAACTCTCGGCTCTGTAGCTGCTGGTGGCCGCACAGCGGCGGGCGAAGCTTGAAGCAGTGTTGATGGGAGGGTTTCAGGAGAGTGAGGGTGTGCGAGAGGAGTGGAAGAAAGGGGGGCGAGGCGAGGAGGCAGGGGGAGCGACGCTGCTAGAATGAGCTTGTGGAAGGGACGGTCCTCCTCCTCAGGGATTGGCTCTCCCTCGCCATTGGCTGCCATTCATGCGTGCACCCATCATGCATGCACCAATCATGCATGCACCCATTATGCATGTACCCATCATGCATGCACCAATCATGCATGCATCCATTATGCATGCACCCATTATGCATGCACCCAATCATGCATGCACCAATCATGCATGCACCGATCATGCATGCACCCATCATGCATGCACCAATCATGCATGCACCCATTATGCATGCACCCAATCATGCATGCACCAATCATGCATGCACCAACCATGCATGCACCCATTATGCATGCACCCAACCATGCTTGCACCAATCATGCATGCATCATCATGCATGCACCAGTCATGCATGCACCCATCATGCATGCACCCATCATGCATGCACCCATCATGCATGCACCCATTATGCGTGCACTCATCATGCATGTATCCATCATGCATGTACCCATCATGTAACCACCTATGCACCCATCATGCGACCATCTATGCACCCTTCCGCACATACATGCAAAATCATCCCATGATCCATCCATCCTTTCTTCCATGATCCATCCATCCTTTCTTCCATGATCCATCCATCCTTTCTTCCATGATCCATCCATCCTCCCACCATGGACCCCCCAATGCCAATTTATGCATCCGAGAGCACACAGAAAATTCGTTACGCGAGAATGTGAAGGAACTAGCAAGGCTCACATGTCGGGAAACTTCAGGGAAACTACAGAGTGCTAGGCGAAATTTTCCAGGATTAAGTAATAGCCGTAGGGTTCGTACCGCTTCCCATTCCAATCAAATGGCTAATGGCTGTCGTTCTATGTCTAGCAGCCACTGCAAATTCTCGACTGCTGCTGCTGCTCGAAGCACCTCTCGCGTTATCGGTGCTGCTTCCAACAAGTACATCCCCCGGCTTGCCATGTCTCATGCTTCTGTCGCGATCCCCTCTCTTGGTCTCTGCTTTCTGCGGTAACCCTAATCTCGGAACAGAAAATGTCGCCTACACTTCTGTTCCTTGCGGCTCCGTTATGATCGAGTTTTGAAGTCACGGACTCGGGTTCATGTCACACAACGAACTTACCGAATTTACGTACTCTAGCTTTACGGATCATAGCTTAAAACCCGCAGGCCAAGATATTCAAGCTTAGGAAGGTTGGTTGGGAGTTGCTGGAGGAGGTGTTATAAACTCGGGAAAATCACAGGCATTTTTGGGACACCCAACCAACACTAGGAAGGATGAACCAGATTTGGCCTTCTTGACCCACGGGTTTTAACAAATTCATCCTGCGATAATGGATTCCAGGATTGTCAGTGTGAGGGCCTTGCCTTGAAGACCTACAGAGGAAGTCTTCCCTGCAGTCATTCGCGCTCCAGTTTATCCGTTAGTGTGTGCTGGTCACTTTTTTCTATGGCAGATTAATATTATGTGGCTTGCCCCAAATCTAACCTGTTTCAAATGTGCACACGTGCAGTGTTCAGCCCAGGGCTCCCTTTTGCAAGGTGTTTTTCCCTGTTTTCCCTGCCAAACAAGGTGTTTTTTTTTAGCTACACTGTCAAAACTGCGTCCTCGCATGAAGTCATCCAGCCTCAATCCGGGTAGAGTTTATTTTAACACGGCTGAAGCCGGCTTGCCATTGTTTTTACTCAGCATTTGAAGAGTTCCTTAGCATAGCATCCGGCCAGTTTCCTTATGTGTTTCTGAGCTTTCATCGCAGCCAACAAAATTCCCTTGCAAAAAAATGCCGTCATCGTTTGGATAGTAGACATTGTTGAATAGTAGTCAGGGGTTGTCTATTATCCGGGTGTCTCTTATAAACAGACTAGCCTCATTATAAGACACCTATTTGTGTGTACGAGATAAGACATATATGTCTTATAATCATAATAGGGGTTTAGGGGTTTTCTTATAAATAAGGGGTGTCTTCTAAACGATCATTAGTTACTTCAGGAGGGTACATGCATACATTTATGAATCTCTACTTCTACCTAGCCCCCCTGAGTCACGGCCTCCTCACCTGCACTAACAGCATGCTCCCTAACACACAGGTCTGGCACTCGCCAGGAATGCCTAGCCGTCTCCCTAGGCTAGATCATGCAGTCAGCCTCAGCCGCCGCTCCGCGGTAGTTGGGGTTCCCCTGGTACAGCACCTCCAGGCCGGTTGTCACGGCCACCTCCCTCACGCCCTCCGCCTGCATCTCCTCCTCCTCCTCCTCCTCCTCCTCCTCCTCCTCCTCCTCCTCCTCCTCCTCCTCCTCCTCCTCCTCCTCCTCCTCCTCCTCCTCTAAAGCCTGCCCAAGCAGGCGCGTGTTGTCGCCCGTGGTTCCCCCGAGGCACATGTCCTCGGAGACATCGGTGGTGCTCCTGGCGCGCAGGTGAGACATCACCAGGTGGTTCCCCGTCCCATCCATCTTGCTTGAAATCCCACAGTGGCGGAACGCGTCAATGATGACCTTCTTGGGGACTTGATGTCAGAAACTAGACGAGGGAATGATTGCATTGAGAAGAAAGTTGGTACAAGTACTAACCCTGATTGGGTTGTACCCCTTATGGGCTACCCCACTACAGCCTACACAATATAAACATTATAACAGTTTGACACACCCCCCTAGACAAAGTGGGAGAGAACAAGTGGTCACAAGACCAGTCAAGAAAAAACAAAGCAAGCTCAGGGTGGATCACAAAGTCACCACACACTCTCAGCACAAGCAAATGGCCACAAGGCCGGTTCACATTCAGAATTATATAAACGAGAACAAACAGTACAGTGATCATAACCTAGCAGGGGTAAGCATGCAGTATATGTATATAGATCATAGAACAAGCAAAGCCACGCAGTGAGCAAGTGAGGCAAAGTAGGCACAAGACTTAAAACAGTACAGAAACGCTGATGATCACCAGTTTGAAGTGCGTTGGTGAATATATCAGTAGTGTTGGCCCGAGTGGCCACGTAAGCAAAACGAAGGTGACCACGCTGCTGCAACTCTCGAGCAAGGAAGTAATGCAGAGCGATGTGCTTCGTCCTGTGCTCCAGTCTGTGCTCCTAACACAAGGCAATCATGGCCTTGTTGTCTACATATAGAACTGGAGGAGAACAAGGCCGCTCTCCCAAGTCAGTCAGCAGGTAGGTGAGCCAGCGTAACTCCTGTCCAGCTATGGCCCTTGCGTAGATCTCAGCCTCAAAACTGGAACTGAGAACAGAAGACAAGCGGGTAGACCGCCAAGAAAAAGAGCCGGAGCCAAGGCTGAAAGTGTAACCCTGTGACGACCGCTGCGTATAAAAGTCGTCAACCCAAGACGCGTCTGCGCATCCAGTGAGGACAACTGGACCCCGTCCTCCAAGCACGAGCCCCATGCCCGATGTACTGCACAAGTAGCGCAACACCCTCTTAGCGGCCTCCCAGTGCTCTAGTCGGTGTCTCCCGGGCGCAACGTAGCGTGCTAGGATGCTAAGAGGATAGGTAAGGTCAGGTCGAGTGCAGGTCATCAGGTACATGAGGCAGCCCACAAGCTCTGGATACGGGCCACTCGGCTCTACGGACTCGTCCGAAGGTGGAGCTGAGAGCGAGTGACTAGTAGGCAGAGTAGTGGACTGTGGCGAGGAGTACCGGAAGCCGAAGCGCTGAAGGACCTGGTGCACCATGTGTGACTGATTCAGGGTGATGGTGCGCCGTGCTCTGCCCTGGGTGATCTGCAAGCCAAGATAGCCGCGTAACTCACCCAGGTCAGTGCAGGTGTGTCTCTTCTGCAGCTCCGACTTCACAAGGGTCAGTGCCTCAGTGTCAGTAGTGGTAGAAACCAAGTCGTCGACGTACACGAGGATGTAGAACGGCGGCAACGAAGTTTCGGTGCGCAGAAACAGCGACGGGTCAGCAGTCGAAGGAGCAAACCCAAGAGCCGCTAACGTCGTCCTCAGTGTGTCTTGCCACTCGCGAGGTGCCTGGCGAAGACCATAGACTGGACGCCAGAGGCTCCACTGGGTACCTGCAGGAAACGACCCATTGAAGCCAGGTGGGCGGCGCAACCCAATCTCCTTGTGCAGGCTGCCCTGCAAGAAAGCTGTGCTGAAGTTAAGAGAGTGAAGCTCGTAGTCACACTAAGCGGCGACGTGCAGCAGAACCCGAAGAGTGGTCATCTTCGGGGTAGGGGAGAAGGTATGAAAGAAGTCAATTCCCTGTCGCTGACTAAAGCCTCGTGCAACATAACGAGCCTTGAAGACAGTCGGAGAACCCAGCGACTGCTTCACCCTGAAAATCCACATGCCATCGACTATGTTCGCCCCAGGAGGGGGAACTGCGTCGACGTAGGTGTCTGTGGACTTCCAGGATGCCATCTCTGTGTCCATGGGTGTCTGCCACTGAGACGAGTACGGACCCGTAATCGCCTCCGCGTAAGAGCGCGTGGTCGTGATGTCTGGTGCATCCGGGTCTCCCTCAGGTGCAAGCAGCATGGCCACGAGATGAGGTACAGCAGCTGCAAGACACTCAAATTCCTCCTACCTGTCCTCAATGACGTTCGTGCCAAGAGCACACTCACCCTCGACGGACGGAGGACAGACAGACTCAGACTCAGCAACAAGATTAGAGGCGTAGTCGAGACGACAGGCGGCTGCAAAGTCAACAAGCTCAGCAACTAGGGCAGTCGCAGCAGTGGACTCAAACGAAGGGTCAGTGACAACAGTGGCTAGAAGAGGAGGGACAGTAGGACTGGCAGCACGAGCTAAATCAGACTCAGGGTCAGGAACGGCAGGAAGAGAGGACGCAAGAGGAGGCGGCAAGGGAACTCGCAGTGGAACAGAGGAAGGACGAAGTGCCATAACGTGAGTGCCAAGGACAGGAGGAGGACGCGGATGAGGAACACGACGACTAGTGCGAACAGCGCGAACAGGCGAGGCAGGACGAGACTCAGGCTCACGAAGCTCTGTAAAAGAGTCTGTCTGCTCAGCGTAAGGAGAAAGAGCAGGCAGTGGGGAGTCTGGCTGTAACTGTGGCTGCGATTGGTGAGGCGGTGGACACAGTAAGCTAGGAGTAATGCCAGTAGAAGACGGGAGACTAAGAACTTGACGAAGGACCAAAGTCAGGTGGCGGCAGAGACGACGACGGAAGCGGAACAAAAAAAGCTCGCCGCTGCACAGTGCCTCCAGCACCAGTACCGCCAGCTCGAGCACCCCCAGCGCCAGCACATCCAGCTCCAGGGTCTCCAGCTCCAGCGCCTCCAGCTCCAGTGCCTCCTGCTCCAGCTCCTCCAGCTCCAGCACCTCCAGCACCAGCACCTCCAGCTCCAGCGCCTCCAGCTCCAGTGCCTCCAGCTCCAGCTCCTCCAGCTCCAGCACCTCCAATGCTAGCGCTTCCACCTCCAGGGTCTCGAGCTCTAGTGCCTCCAGCTCTAGGGTCTCCATCCCAAGTGCCTCTAGCCCCAGTGCCTCCAGCTCTAGCGCCTCCAGCTCCATCGCCTCCAGCTCCAGGGTCTCCAGCTCCAGCACCTCCAACACCACTAGCTCCGGCAGCTCCAGTACCTCTAGTACGAGCACCTCCAGGACCAGCAGCTCCAGCACCTCCGGTACCTCCAGCTCCAGCAGTAACTCCAGCACCTCCAGGACTAGTAGCTCTAGCACCTCCAGCTCCAGTGCCTCCAGCGGGTGGGCCTCCAGCTCCTGCAGCGCCAGTCCTAAGGCGTGTGCGCTGAGCAAACCACTCGCGCAGCTGCCGCGGTGAGAGAGGCTCCCGCCGGCGAGACTGTCGTGGCAAGGCACTCGCAGGACCTCCGGCAGACGAATTACCCTAGGCTCATCACCTTCAGACTCTGCACCCTCAGACTCAGCACCCCCAGGCTCCGCACCCTCAGTCTCGGCACCCCCAAGACCCGCACCCTTAGGCTCAGCACCCCCACGCTCCGCACTCGCAGGCTCAGCACCCCCAGGCTCCGCACCTGCAGGCTCAGCACCCCCAGACGCAACACCCCTAGCAGCACCACCCCCAGCAGCACCAAAGTCTACAATGACCTTGACAGGCTTAGCCAGGGGGAGTGGGTCTACCTGAGACACACCTGAGGGAGCAGGACCCTGAGGGGGGAGGGGGTCTACCGGAGGGGGACCTGGAGCGAGGAAGAGCGGCGGGAGGGGGAGAGGGGCAGTGCAGTAGGGGAATAGACGGTAAAAGGGAACCGTCTCGTCAAACGTGACGTCCCGAGAGGAAACGACACGGTGTGAGGTGCGGTGGTAAAACTGCCAGCCAGGCTCGTAAGGGGGAAAGCCAAGGAAGACGCAGGGAATGGCGCGGGAGGAGAGCTTGTCCGCGGAAGTATTGCGGACAAAGGCACGAGAGCCCCAGACCCGGAACACCGATGCATCGCCAACCTTCCCCGTCCAACGCAGTGTAGGCGAGGTCTCCGGCAAGGAGACACAGGGCTAGAGGTTGAGCTGATGCGCAGCGTACCGGGCCGCAAACGACCATAGAAAATGGGGAGCAGCTGCATGGATCATGGAGGTACGAGCTGTCAAACTATGTGTTGCATAGTTTATATAACTGTTTGTGGTCGTTTTAGTGTAGTTATATAATTGCTTGTTTGGTGGTGCACCTTTGCTAGTTTGCTATATGTACCTTGCGTGCTATATTGAACACACTCATTTTTCTCGCTTCCCTTGGCTACAATCCTCTCGACTCCCGCTTGGCCTAGGCTCCTAAGCCTAGGCTCTATACCCTAGGTTCCTAAGCTTACGTTCGTACGTTGACATGGTATCAGAGCCTCCATGACTAAGCCATGCGGCGCTCAGCAACCTCATTTTGCTGCGGGGAGGCCGGAAGCGTGAAAGACTGGAGGATGCCCTCCCCACGACAAAGTCCCGCGAGAGGTCGGAGGAGAACTCACCACCTCTGTCAAAGTGCAGACGCAGGACAGGAATGTCATCGCGGAACCGCTCGCAGAGCTGACTCAGTCACACATGGTGCACCAGGTCCTTCAGCGCTTTAGCTTCCAGTTCTCCTCGCCATAGCCCACTCCTCTGTCTACCGGCCACTCGCTCTCAGCTCAACCTTCGGACGAGTCCATAGAGCCGAATGTTCCGTACCTAGAGCTTGTGGGTTGCCTCATGTACCTGATAACGTGCACACGGCCTGACCTCGCGTACCCTCTCAGCCTCTTGGCTCGCTACGTGGCTCCCGGTAGGCACCGAAAGGTGCACTGGGATGCTGCAAAGAGGGTACTGCGTTACTTGTGCAGTACGTCGGGCATGGGCTCGTGCTTGGAGGACGGGGTTCAGTTGTTCTCACTGGTCACGCAGTCGCTTCTTGGGTTGACAACTCAGCTACGCAGCGGTCGTCACAGGGTTACAACTTTAGCCTCGGTTCTGGCTCTGTTTCCTGGCGGTCTACCCACTCGTCTTCGGTTCTCAGCTCCAGCTGTGAGGCTGAGA